GCACTGGGGCGTCAACAAGTTCGACGGCTCGTGGCGGCGCGGCTCGACGGCCGGCGGCTGCAGGAACCACCCCTGTGAGTTCGCCTCGGCGCCGCGCCGGCCCGGCGCGGCGAGCGGGCTGACGCGGCCGCGTGTGCCCCGCAGACACCTTCTGGATGAACCCGCAGTTCGTCATCAAGTTGGACCCCGAGGACGACGACCCGGACGACGGCGAGGTGGGATGCAGCTTGGTGTTGGGTTTGATCCAGAAGAACCGAAGGAAGCTCAGGAAGCAGGGCGAGGACATGCATACCATCGGCTTCGCCATCTACGAGGTGACAGAAGAGAACCGTCCGAAAGGGAGCGCTCGGGACGAGAAAAAGCGCCATCGGAGCGCCGCCCGCGCATGCCGACGCTAAAGAGTAGTGTACCTAGCGCGGCGCCTTGGTGGACCCCGTTTTTTTTTTTTTTTTTTTGCTTTGCCACGCCTCATCCTTTCTCATCTTTTGCAGCCGGGTGGCCTCACCTCTTGCCTCCGGACACGGCGAACCTTCCCTCTGGCCTTCCTTCCTGACGAATCGCGGCCGCTTCCTCACCTCTCCTCCCCGTATGCTTTTCTCCGCCCCCGTCGGTCTCGCGTTTCTTGGCTTGCCTGCTTTCCCGCACTTCGCTTCCACCACCGAGTCTCGGCGGCGGCGGTCCGAGTCTTGCGCCGAGATCAGCCGACTCGCCGCTCGTTCTCCAAAATCGGGTCCGGCTTCGGTGCCGCGCGGCCGCCGTTTTTTTTTTTTTTTGCCCTCGGTGACGCGGCGCCCGTTGTGTCTCAGCTTCCCAGACAGGTGAGCGGCGCCCGCGCGACGACGGCCGCGGGGAGAGGTTGCGGTGTGGGGTCGCCGCGGTAACCGGCAGGGGGGCCGGCTTTGTCTGCGCCTCAGTTCCACGGCCAGCGGCAGGTGCACCTGGACAAGAACTTCTTCCTGACGCACGCTCAGACGGCCCGCTCGGAGACCTTCATCAACCTGCGCGAGGTCAGCACCCGCTTCAAGCTGCCGCCCGGCGAGTACCTGGTGGTGCCCTCCACCTTCGAGCCCCACCTCAACGGCGACTTCTGCATCCGCGTCTTCTCCGAGAAGCGGAGCCAGACCGTGTAAGCGCGGGCGGCGGCGGCGAGGGGGGGTTTGTTTGCGGGCGGCGACCAAACGAGGCTCCCCTCGCGCGCCGCCGACTCCTTTTGCGCTCACGCGCGTCGACATTTTCAGGCCCTTCGACGACCCCGTCGGCGCCGACCTCGACGACGTGAGTCGAGAAACGAAATCCCGATCCGCTCGCCGGATTCGCGCTCACGTGGGCGCGGCCTTTGACAGGAAATCGTCGCCGAGGAGGAGGTGGACGCGGCGTTCCGAGGCCTGTTCGCCAAGTTGGCGGGGCCGGTACGTAGCCGAGGTCGCCGCCGAGGGTCTTAACGGTCGCGGCGATGCTAACGTGTGCGCCGCGACGACACGCAGGACATGGAGATCTCCGCCGCCGAACTGCGCACCATCTTGAACAAGATCGTCTCCAAGCGTGAGTTGTCGCCGCGAGGTGGCGCGCGGCAAACCCACGGCAAGGCTTTTTGTCTCCTCCTCCTCCGCCGACAGGAAGCGACATCAAGACCAGCGGCTTCAGCTTGGACACGTGCAGGGTCATGGTCAACCTCATGGACGTATCCTTTAACCCCGCCCCCCCCGCGGCGGCTCCTCCAATAAGACGCGAGCACGCTGATCCTTGACGCCGCCTCAGGAGAGCGCCAACGGCAAGTTGGGTCTGGCGGAGTTTGCCACCTTGTGGAAGAAAGTGCAGCGCTACCTGGTAGCTACAGCGACTTTGAACCCGTCCGAGCGCCGACCTCGTTTGACGCCCCCCCCCCTCTGTCCCCGACAGTCCATCTACAAGAAGAACGACACGGACGACTCGGGCACCATGAGCACACCTGAGATGAGAGTCGCCTTCAAAGATGCCGGTCGGTCCCGGCGCGCTCGAGACTCATCTTTTTCGGTCGCCTTCCCAAGACGCTCGTCACGCTAACGCACGCCGCGGTCGACTACGGCCGGTTCCCGTCATGCCAAAACTTCCGAGACGCGGCGGCCGCTTTCAACTCCCGCTCCGTTTCGGAAAAGCTCCCTTTTCGCGCAGGCGGAGTGAGCGTCTGACCCTATTCCTGTGACTTTTGTCGTAGGTTTCACCCTGAACAACGCCATCTACCAGCTGCTGGTAGCCCGCTACGCCGAGCCGGACTTGACGCTGGACTTCGACAACTTTGTGGGCTGCTTGATGAGGCTGGAGATCATGTTCCGTAAGATGAGCGCTCGCTCCTCACGCCTGCGCGAGTTAGCCGGCGCTAAGCTAAGGGGCGTCGCTGAAACAAACATTTACACCAGTTAGCAAAAGCTCACTTGGCCGGCCGAGCCGAGCGTGTTGTCCAAACGCCGCTTTGTGCCGGTCGGCGATCGGTGAGCCAAGTGCGTTGTTCGAACGAAAAGTCCCCGCTAGCTAGTTGCTAACCGCTAAGGCCGTCAAACAAAACGTCACGCTGCTAAGTCGCCGCCGAGACGGCAACCAAAGCGAGGTGCGATGCTAAAACGTGGCGCGTTGCGAAAACTGTTCTCCCAGCTCGTTAGCGACAACTGAAGTGTGTTTTTGTGCGCTCAGGAATCTTCAAGAAGTTTGACCCCAACGACAGCGGCTCCATCCAGCTCAACTTCAACCAGGTTAAAGTTCACCTCCGCAAAATCGAAACGGCGTGGGCGTTGTCATGACGGTTTGTTGTCCTTGCCCCTCTTTAGTGGCTAAACTTCTCCATGATCTGAATGGCCTCCCGTCGGTTCCCGGTGATGTCAAATGCCTGGCCCGCCCCCCCCTGAGAAAACAGCCATCCCATCTCGACAATTTGCCCCCCCCCGAGAAAACAGCCATCCCGTCTCGACAGTTCTACGTCGACGTGCCTTTACCAGAGCAAGAAAAATCAACAAATAAAAGCTGTTGAACATGCCTGCTCAGATGGCAAAGTTCTTTGAATACTCGCTGAGCTCGTGATCATCAGTTGGCTTGGCGCGAGGATTGTAAATTGGGGGGGGATAACCAATCAAGGGGACGCTACGCAGACACAGCAGACAATCGACCGTGCTCCAAACTGGCGGGCTGCGTCCTTCCGAGGGTCCTCTTCGCATAGCCTTTGTGGACCGCCTAAATCGTGGAGAATGTGGGCAGGCCGAGGGAGGAGATGAAGGCGCGCTCTGAAGCGAGGGTCCGTCGACGTGGAAACGAAGGCCGCGCGAATTCCGACTGGCGTGCGGTTGAGTCACACCGGAAGTTCGGCCAAATTTGGGCCGAGGGCGGCCATCTTGTGTTGCCGCCGGGACTGACAACTTCCACTTTTTGGGTTTTTCACTCAAGACCCTCTTATGAGGGCGTCTTTTTCACAAGGACCCCCGAGAACCTCTCCGAGAACCAACTTTACTGGTTCTCTTTCAATTTGAAAGAGAACATTTAGAATCGCATGCGCGCCACGGCCTGTGGCAACTTTTTATAAAATGGAGAGAAAATGCCTCGGCGGAGATACCGATGTATTCAAGTCGGTTGCACCGAGCGCGTGGCCACGCAAGATGGCCGCCGGCGGCTTCATCTGACTTGAATTACAGTGTTTTCGCATTCCGCCACCCCCCCCCGGGCTTCACCAACGAGACAAGTTATAAACGTGACAGTCAGACACTGAGCGTTTTATTCGAACAAAAGTAGTCCAGCGGAGAAAAAAATTTTAAAAAATCCTCATCATAATAATAAAAAGCAAAGAGCGGCGTCGCTCGTTCAGGAGCGGCCCGGCCCGTGGTCCAGCGGACCGAGCAGGGTGGCGTGGGCCTCCAGCAGGGTGACGTCGGTTTCGGCCCCCAGGAAGCGCCCGGTGAGCTCGGCGTCGTGCAGCCTCAGGCGGACCCTGGCGCCCCGCTGGAGCTTGTCGGCGTCCGCCGCCGGCCGCCGACACACGGCGTGGAACTTGGCGCCGAAGTCGACGTACACGTCGTCGCCGACGACGTGAAAGATCCTCCCGACCACCGTCTTGTCTTTGCCCGGCGGCCCCATCTGGACCAGCGGGCCGCGGCGGAAGAGAGCGGCGAACGCGGCGTCTTCTTCCCGCTCCGACGACGAGGCTCCGGCGGCGGAAGCCTCGCGGCGACCGAGCTCCGACTGGGAGACGAAGGCGGCCGCGAAGCCCGACTTCGGCTTGTCGTCCTCGGAGGAGCAGCGGCGGAGGCTCCGCGGAAGGACCGGCGCGACCCGGCCGAGCGCGCGGCGGCCGGCGGGGACGACCTTCCACACGGCCGACATCTTGTCACCGACTCGCCCGCTGCGGTGCGTTCAAATTCACTCGGAGGGGCGAGTTCTCCGAAGGGCGCGTTTTTTCCGCCCCGTGACGTCACTTCCGCAGTGACTCGCCCGCCCCCGCCGTCCTCATTGGCCACCGCCGATGCGGTCCGCGAGAGGAGGAGCCTCGCCTCGGAGAGCGTCCAACCGACCGCCCCGCCTTGCTGGAATTTGCGGTCGGACGTCCTTTCGGGCGGTCCAGGAAGAAGGGTGTATTTGTACAGTACGCCCTTTTTTTTATGTGTCAACATCGATGGTCACAATATCACTTGTTTTGTATCCAAAGAAATGTGCGCTCTTGTTGGTCTTTTGATTTTGTTTGGGAAATTTCACAAGGTCACATTTTTTTTTCAACTTACTCCAAGTTGAAGTCGCCCCCCCATTGACATTGATTGAGTCTCTCAAATGTATCAATCACACGAACGATTTTTGACATGGATGGATCCGCGATCACGTATTTCGCCCAAAGCTGCTGAATTTATTCATCGAAACGCTACTTGATCATTTGGTCACGTCCATACAGGCAAAAGCAGCCAGTTGGTCGTTGTATTTCATTTCAAGACGTGACGCGCTCATTGTTCTGATAGAAAAAAAAAAATTAAAAATATTTTTGGCGCACTTATTTTGGTTTGCATTCGGTCAAAATTCAGCATGAGTAAATATTTCTGCAACACGGCAAGCTCAAGGGGCTGAGTATAAAAGGTCTTTCGTTGAAGAAGAAGAAAAACCAACGAAGAAGAAGAAAACCCGGAAGCGTACGCAAAAGGGAAGCTAGCGCGGAGCCACATCGACATGGAGCCCACCACGGAGGTTTTTGTTTGCGGGCCGTTCGCTTCGCGCTTTTCCGCGTGTGTTTTTCCGCAAGGTTCGTCGGTGCGAGATGTTGTGGAGCGGTTCGTCCAACAATGGGTAAGTTTGAGCGGCGAAATCGACCGCGAGCGACGAGCCTTAAACTGGCGTGCTAAGCTAACGGTTGGCACTTGATCGCGCTCGCACCGCTTCTTCCGAAAGACCAACCGAAGGTCAGTTCGGAAACTCGCAAGCTCTGTCGTGTCCCGACTTGAGTTAGTCGGAGCTCGAGATGATTGACGAAAAAGACGCGAATTGAAGCGGCGACGTCACTTTCAGGCGCCGGCGTCGGCGCGGGACTTTTACGTCAGCAGAGACGGCGGCGTGACCGGCCCGGACGAGCGCCTGCGGGGCGGCGCCGTCTATCGGCTGGCGCCGCGCCTCCCGGGGGGCAAGGGGGGTGAGTGGCCTCTCGAGGTGGGGTGGGGG